AGACATAGCTGGATCTCTATGAAAAGACATTATTAGTTTTAGTTGTTTTTTTTTTACATTATGCAACTTGTGCTACAGATATGCAACTCTGTGATTATCAACATATTAAAAAGAAAAAACAAGGGACCAATTGACCTATTTTATTCCAGTTGTATTATTCCAGATGTAAATCATTGTTAATACACAGTATACATACCACACAATCATTTAATTGACATATGATATAACACTGTTACAAATACCTGGAATAATAATTGCATTAGTTTTTCAGTATGAGTCCGGCTTCTTAGCGTCGCTGTGTGGTTCCTTTAAATTACTACAGAACTTCCACTGTGACACAGTCAAGTCAAATCCCATCTATTTCAAGTTGTTTTCTGTGATGTGCTAACCAGGGTTTTGAAATAATTATATACAACTATATCTACAACTTACTATATAAGGTGTTGTCTATTCATTTAGCATTCATATATAAATAATTATGTCAGAAGTCGTCAGCGGATGGCGCCGTGGCTTAGTTGGTTAAAGCGCTGTCTAGTAAACAGGAGATCCTGGGTTCGAATCCACGCGTGCCCTTTTGTAATTCAAGGAAGAGGCACATATCGGTACCTTATAGATACGGTCAATGGTACCTTCCCTGTTTGCGTTTACGCGCTGCGAAGTGCCGCGATACGTCAATTCGCGTACGACCCTGGTCATAACATTATGCACACCCATACGCAACACACTGTGATACACTGAGCTCTGACAGCTTTCTATCAGGACCAGCATTAACTTTTTTCAGCAGTGTCTCTGTGTTGTTTTTTCGCTTGCCTCTCTGTGTTAAGACACAACCACTGACGTGTCCATAAGCTTCCTGGGTCTGAAAAGGGTGAAGCAACCCGAGGATTTAATGAGCCGGATTTGACACTTTCCTTAAGAGCTCAGTTTTCCTGATGAGTTTAGGGTGCTTGGTCGCTAGTTTAAATTTTATTCAGTAAAGTAAGTTATTTGTATAATTTAATCATATTATTGTTCTTAATTTAAATAGACGATAAAGCCGCGTGTGCCTTTTTGGGCGGGGCAACCTTTTTAAATTCCCGTCTAGCGTCAGGCGGGCCACGAATCTCAGATCAAAGTGTCAAAAACTAAGGCAGCGCTGAGACTGTTACTGCGGTTGCTACTCCTCACTTAAAATCCGTTTCAGAACAATATTTAGTGTACTGGTTTAGACTATAATACGAGGATGTGTGTAACCAAGGCCGAGCGCCATTTCCGTCTACGGACGAGGGGAAAATGCGCAGCCAATGAGCGTAGGCAACCTAGTAGTACGTCACGTCCGCTGGCTCGCGCAGGCTCTGTTACTGTCATGGAACTTTTTTTTTAAATTGCTTTATTTGAAATTGTATCAAAAACATGCGTTACAGTGACAACTCTAGGTATATAACAATTATTACATTCAAGAATCATGTTCAACATCCTAATGAAATTCTGCTTAACCCGACTTTACAACAGTACAAATACAACCATATAGAGAGAGTACATTTTAGAATTTAAATAAAAGCTGAGAAAATAAAATAAGTAAACAAAAGAAGAGTATACACAGATGTAAGGCAGTATACTTAAAAAGGAGCTTAGTAAGGGTTAAGTTTAAATTGTGTTCTCAAACAATAAGAGTGGTAAAGTTTCTGGAAGGGCATTTTGTACCTTCGTTTATACATTTAATAAGTAAAGAGAAATAATTTTTTTCCAAGCACGTCCACACTGGAGGAGATTTAGACCAGTCGACTTGCTATGGTTGTAGAATTTGGTCAGAAGTATTATGTTGGTTAATTAGGTATTTCGGTGTTTTTATCTTTTAATTATTTACTCCCAACTGAATATTTTTTGGAGAAAGAAATCTACATTTATGGATTTTGATATCAGCCTATCATGTAAGGAATTTCCATAGTTGATTTGAATTGTGTCACAATTAATAAAATATGTGTGTCTGTGGTTTCTACATTTGTGTTGCAAAAATAACAATTATCCACTTCAAATTCAAATCTTGCTCTAATGAATTCATTCGATAGGTAGATCTCATTTATAGTTTTAAACTGTATTTCTTTATGTTTAGGGGGGATTGGAAATTTCAAGAATTTTGTTTTAATCGACTTAATTTCAGTTTTCTTATAACTCTGGAGAATATGTGTCCTTGTCACATCCAGGGCTACATCGTGTTTACCAAGGACTGGCCTCAGAAATAAATTATTGCATTTTTGTGTTAAAGAATTCGCCTCGTCTATCATTATAGTTTTGTAATTTGTGGGTTTGGGGTGTTGTCTAGGTTATTCTTGATCATGTGAATGGAGTTACTGTTGGAATATTTTGTATAACCTTAACATAATCTTTAAACAGAACAATCTAAGTTATAAGTATCACTTACAGATTCCAATCTAGTTTCCAGTATGATTGCCATTTCTATCCATCAGATGCATGATTGACCAGATTTGATTCCTCATCCAGTTTTCCATAAATATAGATTTTCTTCTGCTTAGGATAAATCTGTTGTTCCACAGTGGGACGTTGTGGGGGGTGAAATTATGTGTATAAATCATTTTCCAGTGTGAAAGCACTGAGAAAGAGAGTTTAACAGGCAGTTTAGATATTACAAAATCACATTTTAGCAAGAACTCAATGCCTCCCAAAACTTTGGGAGATATAGCTAAAGAGTATGCAGGGTAGATCAACTGAGATATAGTTTCTGTTTTAGTTAGCAGTGTTCTACCAAAGTGTTTTCTTACATTTGTCAACAGTATCTTGAAAGTTCTTTTTCTCTCTGGTATCAGGGCATCTGGTTATCCAAATTCCGAGGTATCGAGTATCTTTTTTAACAGGTATATTATATAATGAAGTGTCTGAGCAGTTGTGGATGCTCATGAGTTCACATTTGTCAAGGTTCAACCAGAGGCCTGAAGCTTTAGAGAACAGCTCAATTGTTTTTAAGGCCAAAGGAACTTGTTCTTTATTTTTCAAGAATAATGTTATGTCATCAGCTAGCTGACTTATTACCAATTCTTGATCATTTATGTTTAAACCATTAATATTGGATTTTTTTTTATAATTAATGGTTAATAATTCAGTAACTGTAATAAACAGAAGAGGTGAAATACTACATCCCTGCCTTATGCCTCTTCCTACTTTGAACCTGGGGCATGTACCTTCTGGGAGGGAAACACAGCTGTTGATATCTGTGTGCAACATAATAATCATATCTAAAAACTTTCTGCCAAATCCAAAGTGCTTCAGTGTATCAAAGATAAATGTATGTTCAACAGAGTCGAATGCTTTATAGAAATCCAAAAACTGCATAAAACCATCATCCTCTATTAAATCACCATAATCAATGAGGTCCTGAACCAAGCGGATGTTGTTGTGGATGGATCTTCCTTTGAGGAATCCTGATTGAGTTGGGCTAATAATCTTTGATATGCCTGATTCTAGCTGCCAACACTGATGTGAGAATTTTATAATCTGTATTTAAAAGTGATAGGTCTTAAATTGCCCAGGTGTCTCTTATCTTTCCCAGGTTTAGGTATTAATTTTATTACACCCTGTTTCATCGTTGTCATTAATTCTTTGTTATTTATACATTCATTTAAAGCCTTCAGTAGCAGTGTTTTGATGTCTTCCCAGAAATGTTTGTAGAAGTTAGCTGTTATTCCATCTGGGCCTGGTGCACGATCAGATGCTATTTTTTTGACGATACAGTCAAATTCACCCATTCTTAAATCCTCCTCACAAATTTCCCTAAAGTTATCATCAATTACTGGAATCTCCTCCTTAATTTTTTCAAAAAAATAGCTTAGCATTTCGTTCAGAGTATGAAGATGTATAAAGTTTGCTGTAGAAATTCAGAACCTCTTTTGTGATTAGATTTGTTTCTGTGCATTCTTTCCCCTCTATTAAGTGGCTGCAGATTGCATCTTTTTCTTGTCTACGTTTTTCTAAATTACAGAAATAAGAAGTATTTTTTTCTCCATCCTCAATCCACTTGGCTCTGGATCTTATGTATGCTCCCTGTGCTCTATTTAAGTAAAGTTCATCAAATTGTGATTGGAGGATGCTGATCCTTTCCTTATCTTCTGCACTCCAGTTTACCTTGGTATTATATGAGAATAGTTCTTTGACCAAATTAGTTGCATTTGCTTTTCTTTCCCTTTCCATTTTTCTGCTGAAACAAATTGAGTAATTTCTAATTTTAAACTTTAAATATTCCCATTTCTGTATTGAAGTAGCTAATGTGTCATCCTTTTGGATATCTAAGATTATCTTCTTTATATTGTTACAATATTCCATATTTGTTAACAACCTTGCATTAAATTTCCAATAACCTTTGGTTTTAGTAGACATATTGTTTTTATTTAGATTCAAATTAATTATACAATGATCACTCAAGGGGCTATTT